AATATATTTATTTATTTAAAGTAACTAATGTTTTAATCATATACTCTACGACACTGGTCACTCATTTCCACTCAAAATACCTACATAATCGGATTAAAAGTTTTATAGCTGTATTGTATTTCTTCAGATACAAGGTGGGTTAGTCGAAAACATCTTAAACTGCCAGTTTTAGTTTGGTTTTTGTTATTATATCATATTAGCTGTCCTCTCTGTATTTCAGTTCTCTAATGAGGGTCAAACTTGCAGTGAGCTATCAACAAATTATGAACGGACTATAGGTAAATTACGTGTTTGGTCATTTTCTGCTGTGGAAAAAAAATTATAAAACATAAAATTTTGTGTAAAAACCGGAATTAAGTGCCCAAACACACTTGAAATGTTGACAGTGGCATACGGTGACTGTACTCTGAGTAGGAGTGGTACAAACTTTTCGCAAAAGGACAAGAAGATGTGACTGACGGCACATCGGCAACGGTTGAAATCTTAAAAAAGCAAATAAAATTGTTATGCAATGCCCATATTTGCCGTTTTCTCTGTAAAGCGAAGATTGCGTAAGCCTGCTTAAAACTCAAACTAACCTTAAGTGTTTGCGTAATGTACAACAGAGCAATAGACTTAGCTTAGCCAAGCGTCAATTTTACTTGGCAACGTTGTATTTTTTCAGGGGATAATTACTGTTTACGCGTCAATTCTCAAATTACTAGAACCGAATGTGAGGTGAATTTAATAAAAATTGGGGTTTCGATCATAAATTATAGGGTTATGGTTCACGAACGTGCTTGATAATAATTATCTCAATGACTTTCAAATTCTTCTGCTACATTACATAAAAATTCTAATTTGTCAATTTCAGCCTGTAGAGGAGAAAAAGTCAATCCAAGAAGATAGTCGCAATGACTTATTGAGCGAAATACGAAAAGGAATTAATCTACGCCCTGTCGACGAGCGTGACATAAAGCCTGTTACTAGTCCCACGTTGAAGGCAACCGATGATTTAGCAGAGATACTGAAGCAGAGGATAGCACAACGAAGTAAAGCCATACACTCTGAAGACGACGACGATGGATCAACTGACTCAGCAGATTCCGACTGGGATTGATACATGTATTTATTTTTATTTCTTATATGATTTATTTATTTTTATTCTATTTTATTTTTTATGTCATTCGAGAGCTAATGAAATTTTCATCTGTGCAATAAAGCAGAAGTCGATTCTCAATCAAAATAGTCATCAGAAGTACCCACGCTACCATATCAAGGGCGGATTTATATATAAATTTCGGTGGGGGGTTGATTTCTGGATTTCGGGGGGGAGGGGGCGAATTTCTGAATTTCAGTGGTAATTTCTGGATTTCGGGGAAAATTTCTGACTTGGGGAGATTTCTGAATTTCGGGGGTAATTTCTGGATTTCGGGAATCAGTTTTGAATTGGGGATTTCTGAATTTCGAGAGCGTTAATGTCTGGATTTTGGGGGGGACAAATTTATGAATTTCGGAGGTAATTTCTGGATTTCAGGGAAAATTTCTGAATTTCGGTGGGTTATTTCTGAATTTTGGGGGTAATTTCTGGATTTTGGGTGTAATCTAGAAATATAACAACAATATATTCTTTCTTATCAATACTTATTTTCCACTCTGTGACTGTTAGTTATGTGACTGTCTTATTTTATATTTATTATTCTATTTTCTCTTTAATAATTTTAGTAACCCTGGCTTGACACTTCCTATACATGTAACCGTCAACGNACAAAATTTTGGGGGTAATTTCTGGATTTCGGGGATAATTTCTGAATTGGGGTGATTTCTGAATTTTGGGAGGGGGTATTTTTCAAGGGGAATACTCATACAATACTCATTTGAAATTTAATTGAATGTTAAAAAGAAACCTGTTCCCAAATATCAGAACTGCAATGCTATTCTCCAAGTTGGTGTCTTTAGGTAATGAAGTACACTAATTCCTAACTCTAAAACTGGTCCTGATTTATTTCTAACACTAGTTATTTCGGGTAGAAGAAGAAAGAAACATTATCAAATGATTGAAAGAGTAGAGTAGTGTACTTTATTTGATCATTTTACATACTGTATATTTATGGCAAGTCACGATTACTGAAATCCTTGTTTGGAGTTACAACGATAAAATCATCTACAAAAACAAATATAAAAGTGAAGAGTGTAGGTCAATTGAAAGTATAATTAAAAAAATCAATAAACATAAGGATTCAATGAGGTCTTTCTAACCTAACAATGATACAAGACATTTTTCCAGTATTTTTTTTATTTTCCAACATAGTCTCAACTCTTTACACTTCTCCCAGCGATACATTCATTTCTGTAATCCATCCGAATAGTACTCTGTGTTTTTCTCTGCAAAATAATTGTTCACGAAGGTAATTGCCTCTCCATTTGACGAAAATCTCTCCCCCGAGCGAAATTTTTATATGAGAGAACAAAAAAAGTCACTTGGGGCTAGATCTGGTGAGTACGGCGGGCGGTCAAGCAGTTCTAACCGCTCTAGCCCAGATCTAGCCCCAAGTCGCTTGGAGTGTTAGGAATTCATGTACTTTATCTCCTGAAGAAACCGACATGATTAGTGAAACGTGTGTCAACAAGAGTGTTGCAGTTCTGGTAATTCAGAGCAGTGCTTGTATTGGATATATTCAACGCCAGAGGTTCCAGTTCTATCTTCAATTTCAGTATTGAATGTTGATACATGAACACATGAACAAAATTACGGTCTCTTGACACGCGTTTCGCTAACCAAGTTAGCGTCCTTAGGAGATCAGTATGACTAAATTTTACTACTATGCTAGTGTTTTCATATGCTAGTGCCTTGGCTATTAACTGTTAGTAGTACCTAACTACTACCAGTTAGTATTACCTAACTACTAACTGTTAATTATTGTTCCTATATTAAACTACCTACTTGCGTTTTCAAAGCTTTTATTCAAATCTAAAGAAATGAACTTTAAATGTTCAAATGAAATAATTTGCACACCCATTGAGGTATGGATGACACTTGGTGGGTCCACCATGGAATTGTTGCCACCTTCAGAGTTGGCTCCACACCAAAGAATTTCTCAAGTGTCGGCAGTAGGGACATGAAATTATGCATACCAATTGGGGTATATATGACAGTGGGTCCACTATGAAATTGCTGCCACCTTCAGGGTTGGCTCCAAACCAGAAAACTCCTCAACGGTCGGCAGTAGGGACATGAAAATTTGCATACCCATTGGGGTATGGATGGCAGTTGGTCCACTGTGAAATTGCTGCCACCTTCAGACTGGGCTCCACACCAGAGAACTTCTCAACTGTCGGCAGTAGGGACATGAATTTTTGCACACCCATTGGATGACAGTTAGTGGGTCCAATATGAAATTGCTGCTACCTTCAGGGTTGGCTCCTTGGTGTTAGTTGAGATGATGGAAAGTGCTCAGAAGGGATGATTCTTTGTTTAGAAATTTGGATACAATTGCAGCTTCACACCTTGCTACGTCTAATTCCAGTGGTGCAGCTGCTATGATTGCAGAAAAATCGAAATTTCGGAAATACTACACTTTGCTAAGTTCCTACTTTTTCTTTCCTATTGCAATTGAAACCTTTGGTGTTTTTGGATCTCATGCTTCTGAATTGTTCAATGAAATTGGTAGAAGAACGATTATTTCTACAGATGACAACCGAGCCTATTAATTTTTAATTCAAATAATCAGTATCACCATTCAAAGGGGTAATGCCACATCGATATTGGGTGAGAAACCCAAACCTATCTTAACGGAGATTAAGGAAAAATTTAGCGCCAGCGTTAATTTTAATTCAATTTATTATATGTAAAATGTGATTTTAATAAAAAAATGGAAGTCTCAGGTTGGACGTCGTCGAAAAAAAAATTACAATTTTACAAAACATTTAGCAAAGTGTGAAATACAAAATATTAATGAATCCTTATGTCTAGTGACTACAGTTTCGAAAGATGAAACAAATCTGGTACTTACAAGAAAAAAGATTTAACAAATCTGGTACTTACAAAGAAAATGGTAAGGTAAAGAAAAGTTTCGGAAACGCTGTAGTCTTTTCAATTGATTTTTAAAGACTTGAAGTGACTCATTAAACAGATCGAAGTTGATTTGTATTTTCTATAATGTTATCCAATTTGGTACTGAAGAGCCTTAGGGCAAGTGTCTTAAGGCGAAACACGTGTATACCAGTTAGGGTGACAGTGTTCCAAGAAAGTACAATTTATTACCATTCATTCAAAGTAGAACTCATGTGAATGATATCTGATTCTCATTCCTCATTTATTTAATAAACAGGTAGTAGTTAGGAAGGTACTACTAACCTGTAGTACTTGAATGAAATGAAAAAAACACTTTTGTCTAAATACCACTGGAACATTTTTATTTATACTTATTTATACGACCGGTTTCGGGTTTGATCCCATTATCAAGTATAAAACTGAAATCTGAATTTTGAAATATCGATTTTATTAGATTTAAGTTGGCATCCTGCCTCTCAGGTACCTGTCCTTGCAGCATACCTGAAAATTCTATACTTATATTCTTATACTTGATTATGGGATCAAACCCGAAACCGGTCGTATAAATAAGTATAAATAAAAATTTTCCAGTGGTATTCAGGCAAAAGTGTTTCTATTCATTTCATTTAAGTGATCATGAATTACTATAAAGTAAATAAGTCATCAATCACACATATAACCGGTAGTAGTTGGGTACTACTAACTGATAGTAAAGCCAGTCATAATGATCTCCTGAGGATGCTAACTTGGTTAGCGAAATCTTCAGTTTAATCTTCCTCTTGAAGATGATCACTTGGTGATCGAAACACGTGTCGAGGTGTTGAAATAACGGTTTGGTGTTGGAAAAAACTCCAATAATATTATTACCCCCTCGTAAATCCGCCCTTGTGACATTGCCACATTTTTTTCAAAGTTCAATTGACGTAAAAATGTTCTCGAAAACTAATTTAAATTTATTGTTGCAAATTATACAAATTACTACGTGATTTTATGTGATTTGTGGAAACTGCCAAATATGCAGTGTGTCCAAGATAAGCGTGAGAAAATCGGAAACTGCGACGGTTTCAAAGTCGGTCACAATAGCAAAAAGTTGCTCATTTTACAACTCATTTAAATGGACTCATACTCAGCTTGGACTCACAAATCACGGATTTTCATTTGAATTATTATTGAGTAAAGAAAATCATACCAATGCATTTTTATTAATGTTATTTTTTTGGTGTCTTCGGCATCAACAACTGCGGTCATTAGCCTCTTGCTCTGGATATGCTATGTTAATAACTACTAGAGCCAGTTAGTGGACATAATGGCTGTTCACAGTCCCTACAGGTTTGTAACATGAATAAATATGTCAAATATTTAATTACGCCTAATGCCACCTAGCGGGTAGGTGAAAAAGATAGTACATAGTACCACTACTCGCCACTAGATGTCGTTAATTGTCACAATACACACTAATAATTGAAATGCAAAAAAAGCGTAAGTTTGCTTAGGTCACGCACTTTGCGACTATCCTAGTCTAGAAATATAGTTAAATGGCCTCTTAGTTTCACCGATGTATGATTCTCCGCACTCGCAGGGCATCCGGTAAATGCAATTCTTGGAATCGCAGTCCGCGTTTGGTGGCCTGGTTTTGTGAGGCTGCTACGGATAGTGTTCCCAGATCTGAAGCAGGTCCTGATGTCGGACTTGGACCCAATCCTTTCTATTCTTTCCGATAATCCTCTGATGTAGGGAAGTACAAGTACTGGTACTTTATAATTTCAGTTTTTTGTTTAGTAAAATTGTTATTTTCGGTTAAGCTTATTAATGTTTTAATTGTTTTTTCAGAGGTTTCAAATCAATTTATATTATATTAGACAATGGAAGTCCGAACTGATGAAAAAGAACGGCGATACGTGTCACACAGCTCATGTCACATTGGATACTCTGCACGAGCGATTCGAGAGCATGGTGGAGGTGATGTGAACTGGCCACCAAGATCGTGCGATTTGAGCCCGTTAGACCTTTTCTTGTGGATTTTTTTCAAGTCGCGTGTGTATACGAATGATCCACAAACCACGGCGGTTCTCAAATCCAACGTAACTCATACACATTGGTCAAATTCAGCCTGATTTAAGCGCTAGATTCATGGAAAATTGGACGTTTCGAATGAGCTCCATCCAGAGAAGCCGTGGCGGACATTTGAAGGA